TTTTTTTTTTTTTTTTTTTTGCGAAACTGGGGATTGAACTCAGGCCCTTGCGCTTGCCAGGCAAGCGCTTATTCTAGGGAGCCATCACCCCAGCCCCAAGATGGGTAACTTTTGAGATGCCAGTTACTTTTTTAACCCCAGCTCTCTAGAAAATAAGTACAGAACTAAGTTCTGAGAGCTAGAATGGAGCCAGGCACAGTGGCACCTGCCGGTAACCCTAGCACAAGTGGACCTGGGTCTGGATGATGACAAGCAAATACTGGCTGAAATATGAAGGCCTTAATTAGCTCCAACTGATTTAAAAAAAAAAAAGTGGACCTGGGAGGCTGAGGCAGGAAGTTCACAAGCTTGAGCCCCACCTGTGCAATTTAGCAATTTAGTGAGACCCTCTGTTAAAATGAAAAATAAATCCCTAGAATGAATGTTGATTATTATGTCTACCTAAAATATATCAGCAAAATCTGTTTGGAAGAAAAAAAAAGAAAAAGATCTGAGAACGTAATGGTGAAAAGATGCTGAGTTGAAAAAATAGTTGGTTGGGCGTGGTGGCACATGCCTCTAATCCCAACACTCAGAAGGCTGAGACAGGAGGATCTCCATGAGTTGGAGGCCAGCCTGCCTCGCTCCTAGACAGAGACAGGCCCAAAGCGAAGGGGGACCGCTGAGTGCGCAGCGGTCCTGGAGGCCTCCCCTCACACCGATTCACTCTTCTGGGGCATGGTGTCCACCGTAGAGCGTGTGAAAGACTTGCTCTCCCTGTTCAGTGAGTCCTCAGTCAGCACATTGCGCAGGACACTGGGCAGGGACTTGAGCAGCCGGCCCTGGAAGCCGCGGCCTGCCGCCACGTAGATGATGGGGTTGATGCAACAATTGATGTAAGCGATGGAGACACACAGGGCATCCAGGGCCTTGGTGCTCTTGTAGATGGATGAGGTCACAGGGTACCAGGCCAGCAGGACCCCAGTCACCTGGTAGGGCAGCCAGAGGATGAAGAAGCTGCTCACCACCGCCACCACGACCTTGACCGTCTTGGCTGAGCGCGTGGCCCTGCGGCTCCAGGTCCGAAGCAGGAGAAAGGTGTAGCAGATGGTAAGCATGAACAGCGGGCCCAGGAAGCCCACGACCAGCCGCACCAGGGCCACGGCCTTCTCCCTGCGTTCGTTGCCCCAGCCATAGTCTGTGACACAGAGCGTCTTAGCGGGGAAGTACTCCTGGTGCGTCCTGCGGTACACGAAGGACGGGATGGTCAGCAGCAGCGCCAGGAACCAGGCTGCCCCACAGGCCACCCAGGCCAGGCTACTGCCCCGGAAGCGCTGGCACCAGATGGGGCTGAGCACCAGTGCCAGGCGGTCCCCGCTGATGGTGGCCAGGAGCAGGATGCTGGTGTACATGTTGAGCAGGATGAGCGAGGGCAGCACTTTGCAGGCGGTGTCGCCGAGGTGCCAGTGGTTGAGGTGGACAATGGACACGAACAGGACGGGCAGTGCCAGGCAAGACAGGAGGTCGGCCAATGCCAGGTTGAGGAACCAGATGGCGTTGATGTTGCGCCGGGCCTCGCACGTGGTCACCCAGACCACAAGGGTGTTGCCCAGAACACCCGCCAGGAAGACAACTGCCAAGATGACCAAGGCAAGCAGGTCCTTGGTGGACAGATGCTCCACGTGGTGGTCCACGGGCTTGCCTGGGTTCAGTATGCTGTCCTCGTAATCGCTGTAGTTGTAAAACTCCACGGCTTCCTGGGGGGAGCAGAGAGGAGACAGAGTCTAAGCACTCCCTGCACCTGGCAGCCCACAAGCCGAATGCTTGAAGTCTGTACCCCATTGGGGCCAAAGCCTTCCAGGGCCTGGGGAAACTGAGGCCAGGAGTTTGCTGGGCAGTGTGGCATTTAGTAGTGCATTGAAATGCTCACCTCCGCCAACCAAATGGCTAAAACCCCGCACTGTTCTGCTGCACAAGACAGGGTCTCACATGTAATCCAGGCTCTTCTTGAAATCAAGGAGCGCTGGCTGGCCTCAAACTTGGGGCTATCCTCCTGCCTCAGCCTCCTGAGTGCTGGGGTTACAGGTGTGGACCACCACGTTCACCTTGTATTGCTTTGCTTTCAGGGTTTTGTTTGTTTGTTTATTTGTTTTTGGCAGCACAGGAGATTGACTCCAAGGCCTCGCACGTGCTAGGCAAGTGTTCGATCACTGAACTACACCACTAGCTGCCATTGGAGAGGTTTGTGGTTTGTGTTTTTTTTGTTTTGTTTTGTTTTGTTTTTCGGAACCGAGGATTGAACTCAGGACCTTGCGCTTGCCAGGGAAGCGCTTATTCTACTGAGCCATTTCCCTGACCCCTCACCTGCCAATGGGCATGACATTAATAAGTGTCTTTCCTGTCTTTTTCTTTTTAATCTTTGATTTTTTTTTTTTTTTTTTGCGGAACCGGGGATTGAACTCAGATCCTTGCGTTTGCCAGTCAAGCGCTTATCCTACTGAGCCATCTCCCCGGCCCCATAATCTTTGATTTTTATTCTTTCATTTGGTACAGGGTCTCACTACACAGCTCAGACTCACAGTGATCCTCCTTTCTCAGCCTCCCCCATGCGGCAATTGCAGGCATCTGCCACCACGTCTGGTTTCAGTGGCCAGCACAGCACGCCAGAGGTTCCAGGGCCGGCAAAGCATGTGGTATTGGGAATCAAAACCAGGTCCCTGAGCTTGCCAGGAAGGCACTTAGTCTGCGGAGCTGTCTCCCCAGCCCCTCAAGCACTTGGCCAGCCCTTGGTTCCACCTTCCAACAGTCACCCAAGAAGGCAGGGGTGCCCTCAGGGCTGTCCCATTTACCATGGGCACCCCAAATTGAAGAAGCACTCCCCAAATGCAGTCACTGAGCCAGGGATACAGCTCAGTGACATGGTGCCTGCCTGGCAAGCACAAGGTCCCAAGTTTGATTCCCAGTACCAAAAAACTCCAATAAAAACAAGAATCAAAAAGAATGAAAAAAAAAAAAAAAAAGGCAAAAAAAAAAGAATGCAAAGTAACTTCATAGTAGAGGAAAAAAAAAAAGGCCAGATTTTGAGCCAACACCCGTTGCTGTTGCTTGCTTTCCGAGGCCAGTGCTTTGAGCAAGAGGACCACGGTTTGCAATGCACCTGCGGTTTGCATTCCTAGGCCAGGGATTGCGCAGGCCGATTGGGTGACCCAGGCGAGCACATATATTGGGCAATGTGAGCCTTTATAGAGTCCTGGGTGTCCTGTGCTTTGGGACTTGTTTGTCTGCTTAGCGCCTTATTAACTTTTCCCATGAGATTCAAACTAGAGGGAGGGCTGGGCGCACCCCAAAGGGAGCATTCTGCTGCCTGTCGGGCTCCCCGAGCCCACAGCCCCAGGGAGCACTGAGTCTGCCAGTGAGTCCGTCCTTGGGGTCCAGCCCTGCCTGGCCCTTGGTAAGCAGGGTGTGCTCCTCAAGCGCTGTCCCACTCCTACTCCTGTCTTTCCTATTTACAGCCCCTCGTATGACCTAGGAAGGCCACCTGTCCTGCCTGTCACCATCTGGAAAACCCTGTGTCCTTGGGAGGCCTTGTCAGGCTCAAGCAGAGACAAAGTGTTTGGGCACTGCAAAAGGAGGAGTGAGAACTGGGACACCTGGGAGGCTGAGGCAGGAGGATCACTACAATTAGAAGCCAGCCTGGGCTACACAGTGAGTTCAAGGCCACTGTGAACTGAACAGAGAGACCCTATCTCAAAAAGACAAAATAAAATAAAATACAAAGGGGAATCAGAAATCATTTTTTCCTTGCTAGAAGAGTGACAGGAAAGGATGAAAGAACCAAAAAGGATGACAAAGGGACTGCTAGGTGTGATGGTTTGCACCTGTGAACACAGCACTTGGGAGGCTGAGGCAGGAGGATCACTCCTGAGTTCAAGACCAGCCTGGGCTACAAAGCAAGTCAAGGCCAACCTGAACTGCACAGTGAAATCCTGTCTCAGAAAGACCAAAACAAGAACATTACTCCAGCAAAAAGGAATAGCTATAGAGGGAGGGAGATGAAGAGAGAGAGAGAGAGAGAGAGAGAGAGAGAGAGAGAGAGAGAGAGAGAGAGAGAGAGAGAGAGAGAGAGAGAGAGAGAGAGAGAGAGAGAGAGAGAGAGAGAGAGACAGAGACAGAGACAGAGACAGAGACAGAGACAGAGAGAGATGGTGGGAGGGAAAGAAGAGGAGGCAGGGGGAGGGAGCCTGGGCCCTGGACAGCTCAGAACCGGGGTGACAGCCCTTAGGCTTCCTATAATCTTCCCATTTTCCTATGCTTCAAATTTCCCATAATGCAATAATGGGCAGAAAGGTCCAGGTACTTCTTCCCAGATTGAGAGAGGTCCTGCTGTGCCAAGAGAGCAAGCCTACACACATCCCCACCGCCCTTTGTGGTTTTCACTCTGAGATAGGGTCTCACTAAGTCAACGAACTTCCTAGGCTGGGATCGAAACTGTGAGCCTCTTGCCTCAGCCTCCTCGTGCCCAGGGACTACAGACCTGTGCCACCACGCCCAGCTTGAGCTACTATTTATTTCTAATTCCCTTCTTTTTTTTTCGTGGAACCAGGGATTGAACTGAGGCCCTTGTGCTTGCCAGGCAAGTGCTGATTCTACTGAGCCGTCTCCCCGGCCCCTCTAGTTCCCTTCTGAGGCCCAGGGTCAGCGAGTGACGAGAGCTGGCACAGGGAAAAGTGGCAGTGGGCTGACGGGTGACAAACAGGGCGAGGCCACCGAGCAGAGGGGGTGATCAGCGCGGGCTGGCACAAGACACTGACACAACAGGGCGAGCTCTGAAAACACAATGCTGGCAGCCTGTAGCCTCAGCACTCAGAAAGGACACTGAGGCAGGAGGACTGCTGCGAGTTCAAGGCCAGCCTGGGCTATACACTAAGTTCAAGATCAGCTTGAATTACACACCCAGACCCTGTTTCAAAAAAAAAAAAAAAGAGAGAGAGAGAAAGAAAACAAAGAAAAGAAAATTATGCACCTAGTAAGATGGTGGTTGCCCAACCTCATGTACAAAATGCCACTAAACTGTGCATTTTATTTTATTTTTTGTCTTTTGGCCTTGAGCACATTTGTAGCCCAGACTGGTGTCAAATTCACAATGACCCTCCTATGTCATCCTCCAGAGTGCTGGGATGAACTGTGCATTTTAAATAGTGAAGTTTTTAAATTTGTCTTGTTTTGTTTTTTGAGGCAGGGTCTTGCTACGTAGTTCAGGCTACTGCCCTTAAAGTCATTATGGAGCCCAGGCTGGCCTTGCACTAGTGGAGATCCTCCTGCCTCAGCCTCCTAAATGCTGGGATTATAGGGGTGTACCACTACACCAGGCTAAATGGTGAATTTAAATTATGTGAATTTAATCAAAAAAGAAAGTCAGTTTCAACCATATTATCCTGTACAGAGCTGGAGCAGGAAGTCTACCCATTGTAGATCTCGTGGGGCTGACAGGCTGGGACGCAAGACTCATGTTGAGTGGTGAGTTCCCGATGTCCAGCAGCACTAGGCTCCTGACATCCCTGATGGTAAGCAAACAGACTCTGGAGGCTCAAGGGCTACAGGGGCCCAGGGCTGGAGCCTCCCCCTCACAAAGACAACAGAAAACAAGGGTGGGCAAGATAGCTCAGCGGACTAAGCGCCTGCATGGGCAGGCCCAGGGACCTCGGCTCGCTCCCTAGCACCACATCGTGCAGCAGTCCCGCCCCCAGGCCCCGAGACTGGGCGTAGTAGGGCACGCCTATAATCCCAGCACTGGGGAGGCTGAGACAGGAGGATCACTAGGAGTCTGAGCTACATAGTAAGACCCTGTGAAAAATACTTAAAAAAATTCTTTTAAAAATCAGAAAACAATGGGGGTGGATGGAGGGATGACAAGGGCTACACAATAGTGGGTAAATAGACACTAGACAGAGGGGAGGTAGAGGCACATAGACGAATGACAGATGGGCAGAGAACAGTTGGCTAGACTAATAGTGGAGAGACAGATGACAGATCAATTTGAAGCTATTAGGCTAAAAGTATATGAGAATGCTTTGCTTTTCCTTTTTTTTTTTCTTTTTGGTGGGACAGGTTCTCACTCTGTAGTTCAGATGAGCGGTGAACTCACTGTGGAGCCCAGACTGGCTTCACACGCACGGCAATCCGCCCGCTTCAGCCTCCCCAGTGCAGGGATTACCACCACACCGCGAGGTGACCCAGGACGCCGACAGACACCTCTGTAGGCTTCACCAGCTCTCCGCTGTCCCCAGCTGCAGGATGACTCAGAGCCCAAAAGGCAAAGCAGCTGTCCCTACCCCGCTCTCGCTCCCAGCAGCTGAGCACACACTTCCTGGCCTGACTTCACCGTGTCCCTTCCCCCTGCTGACTTCATGAGGCCACAAAAAACACACTGAGTACAACACGCTGCCGCTTCCAGGCTCTTCCAGATGGGAAGTACTCTTCCAGCATAGGTCATCACAGGGTCCCCACAAACGTTGGCACTAATGGGGCCAGGGAGATAGCTCAGCAGTGTCTGCCTGGCAAGCGCAAGGTCCCGAGCTCGATTCCTGGAACCGCAAAAAAAAAAAAAAAAAAAAAGTTGGCACTAACAGCCACGCTCAGCAAGAATGGAATCGCTGAGTTCAATGTGGCCCAAGTGGAGAAAAAAATGAGGGGCCAAGTGTGGCGGTGCACATCTGCCATCCTAGCGCTGGGAGGCTGAGCCAGCAGGATCTCAAGTTTGAGCCAACCTGGACAATTTGGCAACTTAGCCAGACTCTGTCCTTTTTTTTTTTTTTGCAGAACTGGGGATTGCACTCAGATCCTTGTGTTTGTCAGTCAAGTGCTTATCCTACTGAGCCATCTCCCTGGCCCCCAGACTCTGTCTTTAAAAGTGTTTTCAAAGGGATGGGGGTGTAGCTCAGTGCAAAGGCCCTGAGTTTAATCCCCAGTACCACACACACAGAAAATAAAGGAAATCAATTTACCAGTGCTGGGAGACCGCTAAAGAAAAACCCTACAGACCCTGGGGCAAAGGAGGAAACCCAGGACAGAGTGTGGGCAAGGATGTTGTCTACAAAAGGGGAAACAGCGCTCTCTTAGTACTGGAGGATTTTTTTTTTTGTCTTTTTGCGGAGCTGGGGATTGAACTCAGGCCCTTGCACTTGCCAGGCAAG